ATTTCTATTATACTTACTTTTAAACGTTCTTTCATGACGTCATCATCATTTTGGCCTTTTAAAGGTAATTGAATAACGCGTGAAGATCCTAAAATCTTTAGCTAGTTAAAAAAGTCATTCAAATTAAAATTTCGTTATATATAGAAATGATATGGATCCATTCATCCTTCATCACTGTCTCCTTTGCTGGAACTCCAGAAGAAAAATGTAGTTCCACTCATCATCGTCTGCTTAAGCTGATCACCTCACCATAATTTTCCCATGGCCTAGTCCTTCAAGCCGTTAAGAAACGTTTTTCTCTGTATATCCTCTTCGTGCCATTTCTTATTTATTTATCAAATGTATGTTCAAAATTAGAATATGTAAAGAAATTTTTTTCCTATAAACCACACTAATACCACCTGTGGGCCAGATCATTCTTTCCATCGTATGTCAAACGAAAGCTTAAAGGCAATTTCTCTTACAATCTTCTTTTGATAATGTAACCAGTAGTAAATGCTTGTGTCAACCAGTATGGTTCTGGTTGTAGAGCTTCTGATCATCTGTTTTTCATTGCCTTGCGAATTCTTACTCTTATCTGCACAAGTGTTTCGTCACATTTTCCTTTGTATGATTATTTTTGCACAAATTTTATCGCTTTCGTGAGAATGTCTTTGCAGATTTCCTGTCTCATCGTAACTCTCTTGAGCAATTTTCCCTTTCCAGAACACTCCTAAAGCTTTTTAAAAATGTTAGCTTTCCTTACAACAACATTACCGGTGTTGTTTCGCAGCCAATAACTGCATGAACAGCCGGTAGATTTTTGGAACTATCTAAACCCAGGTAAGATACGACGTTCCAAAATTAACGTACTTCTCGTTGTCAATCTTTAAGGAATATTTCTTTGAAGGCTTTTCACACAATAAGCAGTAAAAACTACATTAGTGTCCTTTCGACAACTAATAAATTTTATCAATGAGGAAAGAATGGAATATCAAGTGGATGTCAGCCTCTTCATAGCTGCAATTAAGCAAGTATGTCGTGGAATCTTTGATTATCTTTAAGGTTTGTTATTTATTGGTAAACATGAGTGCTTTCAAAATTAACTGCTTTCCTTCTTAGCCCTGGTGTCCTTTCGACAACTAATAAATTTTATCGATGAGGAAAGAATGGAATATCAAGTGGATGTCAGCTTCTTCATAGCTGCAATTAAGCAAGTATGTCGTGGAATCTTTGATTATCTTTAAGGTTTGTTATTTATTGGTAAACATGAGTGCTTTCAAAATTAACTGCTTTCCTTCTTAGCCCTGGTGAAGCCTTTGGATTATCTTGATCTTTGTAATGCAGAAGACTGCCAAGCATCACTAACAGCAACAAAAACCTTGAAATGGAATATAAGATAGGTTTAGTGCGGGTATAACACTTTATCTCTGCGATATCCCATTGCAAAACTCGGTTCCTACTTGATAACTTGTCAAGAACATTTTGTATAATCTGGTCTGGTTCTTGTTGTATCAAACTTACTTTCTAAAGCTAGCTCAAGGCTCTACCAGGGCTAAGAAGGAAAGCAGTTAATTTTGAAAGCACTCATGTTTACCAATAAATAACAAACCTTAAAGATAATCAAAGATTCCACGACATACTTGCTTAATTGCAGCTATGAAGAAGCTGACATCCACTTGATATTCCATTCTTTCCTCATCGATAAAATTTATTAGTTGTCGAAAGGACACTAATGTAGTTTTTACTGCTTATTGTGTGAAAAGCCTTCAAGGAAATATTCCTTAAAGATTGACAACGAGAAGTACGTTAATTTTGGAACGTCGTATCTTACCTGGGTTTAGATAGTTCCAAAAATCTACCGGCTGTTCATGCAGTTATTGGCTGCGAAACAACACCGGTAATGTTGTTGTAAGGAAAGCTAACATTTTAAAAAGCTTTAGGAGTGTTCTGGAAAGGGAAAATTGCTCGAGAGAGTTACGATGAGACAGGAAATCTGCAAAGACATTCTCACGAAAGCGATAAAATTTGTGCAAAAATAATCATACAAAGGGAAATGTGACGAAACACTTGTGCAGATAAGAGTAAGAATTCGCAAGGCAATGAAAAACAGATGATCAGAAGCTCTACAACCAGATCCATACTGGTTGACACAAGCATTTACTACTGGTTACATTATCAAAAGAAGATTGTAAGAGAAATTGCCTTTAAGCTTTGGTTAGACATACGATGGAAAGAATGATCTGGCCTACAGGTGGTATTAGTGTGGTTTATAGGAAAAAAATTTCTTTACATCTTCTAATTTTGAACATACATTTGATAAATAAATAAGGAATGGCACGAAGAGGATATACAGAGAAAAACGTTTCTTAACGGCTTGAAGACAAAAATATCCGATCGTCAACGTTAAAAAAGCTGTGAATATCTGCAGAAAATACTGGAGTCAGCAAAATAATTCCAAAATTTTTTCACACAAATTATGTTCATCTTGTGCAGGGCCCCGCACACCCTCCGCTAAAAAACTGCAAGATCTGCAGCGCTCTAGTGATGAAATCGAAGAAAATTCCGTAACCAATGAGGACTAGGCCATGGGAAAAATTATGGTGAGGTAATCAGCTTAAAGCAGACGATGATGAGTGGAACTACATTTTCTTCTGGAGTTCCAGCAAAGGAGACAGTGATGAAGGATGAATGGATCCATATCATTTTCTATACAACGAAATTTTAATTTAAATGACTTTTTTAACTAGCTAAAGATTTTTATGCATTCTTTCACGCGTTATTCAATTACCTTTAAAAGGCGATGACGTCATAAAATGATGATGACGTCATGAGAGAACGTTTAAAAGTAAGTATAATAGAAATTCAATACATCTTTTAAAAGCACTGAATGTGTGCAATTCGAATATGGAACATATTTGACAATGATAGTTGCGAGAAAACAATTAAAAAGGTTCAAAGTGAATTTTCTCCAAGTTGATGACGTCATCACAAAATTTGACTTCCGTTCGAGATATTTTTCATTTCATCTCAGATTTGAAATATGCATAGTTAATTTAGTGCAGAAATGCAAAAAAAGTTGAGTTCGAGTCCTTGGCCGATTTTTAAAGATTTTTTATCATTTTTTTGATGACGTCATCAAAACAGTAACTTCCGGTGATAATTTTTTTTGGCCCATCTTGGATTTGGAATCTCCATGGTCGATTTAGTAAGCATGTGAAATAAAATTTGAGGTTAGGCAGTTTGCTAGTTTTTTCTACAAAATTCCCTGTCTAAAAGCAGAAGGGAAGTTAAGAAATTCGAATGGAAAGACAAAATTGTCGACTTGGTTATTGACCTGTGGCAAAATCAGCCATTGTGATTTGAATTTGAATTTTAGGATGCCCGTTAATTTTTGCGACGATACCCTTGAGATCAGTTCAAAATACATTTGAGAATATCCCCCCCCCCCCCCCCGCTACGCTTCCTCGCTCTCGACTTCCATTGACAACAAATGAAACGTAAAAATTGAAGGAAGGCAGATCACTGATAAAATGCGCGCCAAACAGTTCCCGATCTACCCAGGACAGCAAAGACTTGTCGGTGCCTTTGAAAAAATTGCATCACAGACATTTCCATTTGATCGCTGGTCAAATGAAAAATCTGTGACATCGAATTAATAGGCAATTAAAAAGGATTAATTCTTGCTGCTTCGTACAACTTCAAGCAACTTGTAAGGTCGTTTACACGATCACATTCTGTGATCACATAAAATATGTGATGCAAATGTGACCTGAATATGATCGTGTAAACCGGCCTTAAGGGGTGCGACATCCCCCAACATTTTTGTATTCTCCGGTAAATTTTGCTTTGATTCGGTAAAAAGCAACTTTTGGTAGACAGTAGTAATAAAATGATGCAAAAAATTGCTTTATCTATCTTCTTATCTTAAAGTTAAAAACTGAATTTTAAAAGCTGGCTCTTCCATCAGTTTCCAGTCACCTGAAAAGGCCTGAAAGGTGTGGCACAAACCCCATCATTATCTAACACCCCCTAATCCCCTCAAATCCGTCCGTGTTTCAAAGGTACTACAAAACGAAATTATTTTGGGAACTTCTCTTTGAACACAGACGCTCTTTAAAACCGCACTGAGCAACTACTTTAACGAGTAATCTAACCAGTCTAACAACTGAAAATACCTTGGCGGTATTTTGCCATACTCTATGGTCTTTGCTCGCACGCCCCCACTTCCATCCTGTGTGTTCCGTTAAGCATGACATCATAACATAAAACTTCCTTTCGACAACTATGACTGTGGTTCTACATAGACTGTGCAACCGAAATCCTTTGGTATTCGAGAGGCATTTCCTTGCTGCCGTAAATAGAATTTCTATTTTCATTTTAACAATGTTTCTATTTTTGAAAGTAAGAATGTTATTTTAAGTGTTATTTTAAGTGAAAATAGACTGTATTCTTAAGGGCTGAAAAACATGGGATATTTCTACTATACTATATCTTCCATGGGATAAACAGACCAATCAGAAAAAAAGTAGTGTAGTGATGATTGTTATCAAAGCCAATTTTGGAGTATGGTACTCATTATTATATAAGATAAATTTTTTATAAATATTATTCTAAGAAGGCTTGAAACTAATGAAACTCAAGAAATTATTAAGAGAAATGACCAAGCTTGACATTCATGGAAAGTTGGACTATTTATGATAAATAGATAATAGATCATCTGATAATATGGTATCAAACAAGAAAAGCAGGCTTTTGCGCAAAATGTCTGATATACTCATCAAGCATGTATTATGCTAGTATGTTCAGTTATAAAGATATTTTTCAAGAAGTATAAAAATGCACCAAAATCTTACCAAATTTACACATTATTTTGCTCTAGAGTGATTTACTGGTAATTCCCAGCTCATAGTCACAAACATTTAAGAGTATTGAGGCTCAGCAAAAATAAGTGCTATTTAGAGAAAATATAAGAATATGTTATGTTATAAGAAGTATCATGGGTACAAAGTAAACACAAGTAGTTGCTAAGTATTTAATTAACATAAATTAGTTTCTGGACATAACAGATTTCACATTAACAACCTCTTCACTGACAAATTATTTCAGGATTAACAATCAATTAGTTAATCTTTGTGAATTAATATGCAAAAGAAAAAAATACATTTCTAGGCCAAAAAGATGATCGAACCCCCAAAATTTCATTTCATGAGTTATTAAGTATCTTTCTTCAAATGAGCTCAATCTTATTTTAGGCATTTTATTTGGCAAGTTGATTGGAAGTGCCCCAATGGAGCAACACATGGCAAGTATTCTTTGAGAGCAGTTCAATTTAGTCAGAAAATGAGTACAATCAAATAGCAATCTTGTGAGATACACTGCTAATCTAACTTTAAATGCACAACCTATAAAGTGGGACTTTCTGTAATTGGATGTAGTCTCTTGATCGTAAGATAAAATACTTGAATCCTCATCTCAAGTGGCATAAAAGAGCTCATGTTCCAATCCAACATGTTTAACAAATTTACTTAACATTAATTTGACATCTACCAATAATTAAACAACATTTATAACATCACTTTTCTGTAATTTAACCTTCAATGTTATGTAGAATATTAACCAAATTTGAAATAAATAGACAAAATGACACATCTAATGAACTCTCTAAAACAAAAATATGAGATCCTAAAATACTTCTGAAGAAAGCCTTGCTCTCTTAAAACAATTAATCAGTTTCTGTTCTCTTTAAACCATGCTTTTCCTCTTTAAACCAATGCAATACATAGATCATAAGTACACACTTCCTGTTCCATACAGCAAGGAGTCATGTCATCAAGTATACACAGACTACATATGCACTAATGTAGTACATATTGTCCATAGTATACTGGCCTATGTTCAAATAACCAGACTTGATAACTTCTCAGCTATATTTTACCTCTGTTTGATATCTTTAATACCAATATATAAAGAGTTGCTACTGTTGGCTCGTGAATGATCATTCTCCAACGTGTCTCCAATTAGTTTTAATGTATTACCACATTCCCTTACAGTCTTGAACCAATGGATAAATGAATTGCTTCTTGAGGTTTTGTGTCCCACAGACTTTGAACGCATAAGTTTTTTCCTTTGGTCTTCATCTATTTTTCCCCCTTTTTTAGAGCCAACACAAGAGAATGAAGATGATCTAGCTTTTTTGGATTCTTTCTTCTGTGCTTTGTGCCTCCAAAACATCAACTGCAATTGGAGAAGAGATAGACAAGAATCAGACTTAGCATGATTAAACCATTTTACAAGAATACTTTTTTCTTTCTAAAAATTAATAATAATCAATATATGTTTCATTCTTATGTTATTTATCTATAAAATAGAACTTTCAGCCTTTTTGCAAATGCAAATATCATTCTCCTGGTAGCATTGCGAAAATGTGTGTCGATTACTTCTTATTTCAGTGCTGTTATTTAACTTGATTTGTGAACCGGAACTTTAAGATTATACGATTACGCCAAAAATTCTACAGTGGCATGACCGGTGAAATCGCATCAGGATTATCAATGGAAAATGAGGAGATAAATAAACGAGAAGAATTTGATCGTTTTTTAAGAATATAGTTTTCAAAAGCACACAATCTAATGTCAAATATAAAAATCACGGAGAGGACGAATATGCACACACCACAGGTTATTTAAGTCTGCACTTTCATAAAACAACGCTCAGCTTTTGCCTTGAAGGTTTTTGGCAAATCTCAAGTAAAACAATACTTATTTCAAGATTCGACTTATTCTCGATTCAAAAACATCCGCTTTACACCTATGATTTAAACAAAGAATCGGTTAAGGTAAACATAAAAAAATTGCTGTCAACATAACGGAACCTACTTTTGAAAGCTTCATTTTTTATCCGGCCGTCCCCTTCTTTCTTTGAGTTTCAAATGTAGTCTTGGCTTTTGCTTGCTTCTTCTTCGGGCTAAACGATTACCTTTACTTTTGGTTAAGTTCTTTCCCACTTGGGTACATTCCAATTCCCTCTAAACGAGTGTTTCTTGGTAACACAAGATTCAGGCACTGAACTGTGCTCGAAATGACGTCAGGTTTGTTTTTATAAGGACCAGAGTGAGGCTCATGGGATACGAGACTTTGCACGCCGAACAAAGAAAGCGGAACTGTCCATGACATTAGGGGGTAATCTTAGTTCATCAGGTGGTAGCAATAAGATTTGACTTGGGAATGAACCTTTTTCTAAAGGTTCCATTCAAAGTACAGGAATTGCAATCAAATTTTCAAGGATTTAAAAAACACGATTGAAAAACAGGGCCGTCGTGAGGCAAGCCTTGTTGGGGGGGGGGGGGGGGGGGGGGGGGTGGTATGGACAACAAATTTACCTGATTAAAAATAATTACCTGAACTTCTTAAGTTGCTGTCACAAACTTTTGCAATACAATTTGTCAAGCTTACTAACTGTGTGTCATATAATTCGCAACTTTCATTTTTATATGATAATAACAGACTTTCCTAATCAGGCTGGTCGGAACCGGGGGGCTGGGGGCCTGGAGCCCCCTCCCCAATAATTGCCAGACTGTAGTCTATTTCGTTTATAACAGTGTACTAAATGAGAAGGAATACAATGGGCAGTCCCCCCTCCCAGATATGAATTTCGTTCCGACGGCACTGCTTATAGTTTTGTCAAATTCAAAATACCCTGAATGAATGAAGTTTAAACTGGACATTTATTCTCTTTTTACTCGTTCTAAAATCTTTTTTTGTTATTTTCAGTGGGGGTCTAAAGCATTCAAGAATCTTCAAGAACCTGGTGGACAGTTCCAGAGCCAGGGGAACGATTTAAAGGAAGTGAAATTCAAACTCCGTATGTCAGGACGGGCAAAGGCACCATGGTTGCCGCCGAAGGACTAGAAGATTTTCGTATATTGATGCCTCTAGTTCACTAGAAAATGCACTCTTTTTTCTTAGCGTAGAGTTTTCGATCTATGTTCTGACGTTTTAAACTCCGAAGAGTGTCAGATGAAAAGCATTAGTTTACTAAAAGTAATTCTCCTAATCCTATTGACAATTCTTTTATTTTTGCAAATAAACTGTTTAGCAAATAAAAACAACTTCTACAATTTCGCGTGGTCTTGAAAAAATCCATATTGTCAGTTACTTCTAAAGCTAGGTAACAAGCAGCACTGGTTGTCAATTTAGATCCCTGATCCCTCTTTCCATCTCAGCATGCCCTTTGAATGTTACAAAAAATCTGTAACTCAGTGTAGTTGATGCTTCTACCGAGAAACTTTAGGAGACATTTTACCTAAAGAGGTCCTGGATTTTTAGATTTTGTGCCAACAAGAAATCTTCAAATCTTCAAATCATTAGTTTGTTTACCTTTCTTCATATCAAGGAGACAACTACCTTTGCTTGATCCTTAATTTATTTTAAGACATGAAGGTCTCTGAAATACCTAAATCGTTTCTTCCACTGGGCGGATTTTACCTGAAATTCCCAATCGATATACTATTGAAGGGTGTGTGACAAGTGTGAATGTAGCCTTTACTGATTTACGTGTATTTATTGTTGAATATTCTCGGCAAAAATATCTACCAACATTGCTACAAATACTGTAAATGTTGGTGGATACCCCCTTGCAAAAATATCTGTTGCAATTGGCAGAACATTTCTTGGAATCAAATTTCTATACAAGCAGGAATGATGACGTGGCTTTGCGGAATATAATGAAAATATAACAGTTTGATTGCTAAAAATACGACTTTTCGAGCATGAACCTGTTATCAAGTGGCTAGAAAAGAAACGAGCCGAGCAAATGGGGGATTCGATAAATAGAAAAGAATGCGAGTTGCGACGCAACCGAGAAAAACATAATAGGGGATTGGGAGCAAGGGGTGTATCACTCCAAAAATCCTCGTACACCCTGCCAAAAATCCGCAAAAATCCACTAAAATCCTTTAAAAAATCCAGAGATCCACAAAGAAAATAAAATTCCGAAAATCCAATCAGATTCAGAAATGTGCAAGAAATGTCCGGTACCAAGTCAAAGAAATAAGGCCAAACTCTGACAACATCAGCGCTGAATCACATAACAGACTTACATTTTGGACAGAAAATCTTTTGGATCAATCAAGGACATCATCGAAAGTACGATGGATGATCTGGACGATTATCTGGACGATTCGGTGCAGTGAATAAAGAGAAAGCCGTTGTTGTTGCTGTTGCCGTTCCTCATTATAGTTCCTCGCTGGCTGCCAGTCATCTTTCTCAGCGCGGGTTCTTCTTCCAGCCCCTTCACTTTTGTGCACCAACAATCCCTTCCTTGACAAAAAGAAACGTGAAAAAGCCACCAACCCTTGATTCGCAAAAACCTATCTCGGCATCGCAGATGCGCAACGTAACGAGAACGTAACATTGGAAAGCCTGGAGACCAGTGCCTCTTTAGGAGAGAAGATGATCCTTCCAAGTCATTGTTAGGGATAATACTATCATTTTCGTGCTTAAAGGGCAATAAAAGAGCAAGAGCTACCTAGGACAATGTAGCCAAACCATAGTTTGAAATTGTTCAAGCATGATGAGATGACAAAACGATATATGCTCTTTCAATGCAACTCAATCGAGCCATTGTATAAACACGATCCAGATTCTTTTGTGGAATTGCTGAATGGTCCATTAAGTAATATATGATTAAACGAAAGTGCCAAAACATGATATTGTTGGAATGAAGATAGAATGTATTTTAAAATGGTATGCATCAAATGAATTCAAATGTCATCATTTTTTGAAGAACCCCGAGGTGAGCGGAGTGTTTCTGACACCCTGTTCACCCTGCATAATCGTTATACTTTTGATATAGATGCTTCGTCGAGTTACGTTTTAAGTTAAAAGGACATGGCAAATATGCTCTTCTCTCATCTGATTTACAACGGCAGTTCATATCTGTCTCTTTTGTGAATCTTTCTATGAGTTATTTTGATGTCTTCGGCAATTCCTGCAACTTATTCATCTAGATGTGTGATTCTCTCTCTTTTGATCATTAACAAGAACGGTATCTCCTCTATGACCTTTCCAACATTGCCATTCTTACTACATAAAACAAATTTTGTTGCAAAAATAGACCATGGACCGACCCGGAATAGCATCCCTTTTAGTTTTAGTTGTTTTTTCTTTTTTCTCAGTTTTCCCTTTTGCACTTATGATTGCAATATCTTATCTTGTAAACCCAGGCTAGCCAGTTGCTACCCTGGGTACCAGATTCACTATATATAAAATTAAATAGTGAGTCTGGTAGTTAGTTAGCCAGTTACAAACTACCTATGTCATAGAGAGGTTTGTAATCGTAGTTTAATTTGATTAAAATGAAAAGTTATCATTATTATAACTTTATTGGCAGTAGGCAGGAAAATGTAGAGTAACAATAACTAAAGGCTAATTCAAGGCTAATGACTAACAAAATAAAGGTAATTATGTACAATTATTTTTGTGCTCTCTCACCAAACAAAAATCTAACGAACTTGCTTGAAAAGTTAAGAATGGTCAAATTGTAAAGTTGTTTCTACTGGTGAAGAGTAGAACGCAAGGCTGCTACAGAATGAAATTGATTCTGTTGAAAAAGCAAGGTATCAACACCTTATTGGGGTTTAACTGAAGCAGATACAAGAACTTAACTTGACTTAGCACAGGGTTTATGTCAGCCGCTTCGCTTTAAATCCTGGCAGGGAACATTGGGGGGCTGCTAAGAAGAATCCTTCGTTGCATCAAAGGAACTGTCAATCAAGTTTGAGGGTTCTGAAGAAGACAAAATTCAACTAAATGTATATATCGATGCAGATTCGGAAACTAAACCAAGGTGACAGAAAGTTTCAGACACAGAGGCGTAGCAGGGGGTGCATGGAGTCTACTGTCTAATGCTCTAAAGTATCAAACTTCAAAGACATATGAACAATGATATACAAATTCACCTAAATTGTGTACTTTATTTCTGCATAGAACAGTTGTCTGTGTATGCACAAATGCCTCAAGATTTCACGGGAAACAGTTTGGCCATGTTGTATATAAGTGCCCAACATTTGCACCTTAGAAACACAATTTTTATCAGCATATATGGGAATTTTTGCCCCCCCCCCCGAAAATGTTCTTTAGCTTCGCCCCTACTCCACCAGGACGTGTATTATTCATGCTTTGGAATAATTAGCTGAATAAGCGAAAGACAACCTATCATTGCTTTATCGCCAACTGAAGCTTAGTGTTTATATGCAGTTAGAGTTTGGCAAAAACTTGAATATAGGTTCAAGTGCTGTAAAGGTAACAGTGCCTGTGCATTAATTTGTAAAATAGTTTTTGCCCCTTTCGCACTTTATTTGAATCAATATATGTTCCTGGCTTCCACTGTAGTTCTTGGAATTATGCAAATTTTTCTCTTCTACTTTCGCAAAAAGCGCATAAGTGACCTTTCACTTTCATTTCTCAATTCAAAAACATTCGAAGACAAGGTCATCCTAGAAACATTTACAAAACTTCTGTATGATTCAAAGAAATCTTCACTTAACAAAAACTAACTTTATAGTTGTCATTTCTCAGAGAACTGGAATGACGGCCGATCACGTGACTGCGAGAACTCTATGACCGTGCTTCTTGTTGTCACCACTCACAGCAGCTTGCAGCATTTCGTTTTCGTAAATTTACCAGCATATGCTAATTTAAATCATAATGTCAAACAAATTGATTTGTCGAATTGACTTTAGTAAAAGCTAGCTAATATGAAATCACAAATAAATCAAACGAATGTAGCATTCGCAAAAGATTTTGATGAAGGACAATTGAAAAAAATTCTGAAAAGAGCTATCGAGGGTATATCTCTAGTATTGACGTGTAGATTATTGAATGCAATGCAACAAAAGTTTGAATTGATTTACAGGAAAACACAAAAACTTTCAGTATATGTGTAAAATGTACAGGGACGAAAACAAGTTGCTAATTTTGGGGGGGCGTGGAAGGATGAAAATTCCAATCTAAGTAAGAAATTTTTCATTTGACCAGTAAATCTACTGTACCTACTAAATTGATATTTGTAAATAGCCCGAACACCATAGTTCTATTTTTTTTATAATTACCAAAACTTTACTCAATAATTAGCCTAAAGCATAAAAGCCTAAATCTCTAAATTTTGATCAACATGAAACAGACATTTTAACTTACAGTAAGAAGTAAAGCAACATTTAAGCAAAACCAGTATTAGATATACTTAATGATAAGAAGTATTCTTTTAGATCAATTAATCAATTGGCGCAGATCAATCTTATCTAAAATACATTTTTTCACGATATAGAAGCACCAAGAACTTGAGCCTTTAATTTTTGTTCTTGATCGAAGAAAACTACTAACAATTTTCAGAGGGCCAAATGCCTTTTCATTCATTACAATTGAAATGATGATTTGAGAACAAACTTGTGCATATGCCTGATCCGAAAGATGAAACACTCTTCTTTGATCAAATACTTCTACTGCAATTTTGCAATGTGTTCTTGCTTCACAGCAGTTTTGTCATAGGAATTTATGATAAGGAGTCAAGAGCGTTAACAAATAACAGGGGGAGTTTAGCATAAACTCGTTTTTATAAGAAGCGTTGAGAATTTTTAGTACTGAAAGATTATTAATCTTTTATTGAATTAACTACTCGTAGTTTCTTAAAAAACTCCCACTCTAATACTTTCTGAACAATACGGGAATTATTATTCCAAACTGTAAAGTTTCAAGTTTCTTATCAGGAAATTCACCTTGCCTGTTCGTAATTTGATTCAACTCCCGTCAGAAAGAAAGCAAACAGGGCAATTGTGCAATTTGGATCCAGTGGAGACGGGTCAGCTTCAGCCTGTGAATTTTAATGTTTAGAATTTTTACATTTAAAATAAAAAAACTTCTCAAAATATAAAATTCACAAGTTTGGTCCTAAGAAAAAATTCCAAGTCAACCGTTATGTTTTCCAACTGTAACTGGATTTTCCAAACTTTGGGGGGGCGTCACGCCCCCCACGCCCCCCTATTATTTACGTGCCTGAAAATGTAAGAGTAAATTGGATTCATTTCTGCAATTCGAATTCTCGGCAGATTAGATAAATGGTAGGGTAGAGCCCAATCTTCGTTCCACCAAGCAGTTGTAGAATGGACGAACAAAAAACCCACTGTGTGATTCATTTTCACGGACTCCAATGGCAATTTTTTTCTACAGGTAGCGCGTTCTCCGATCGGCCTATTTACACCCATCACTATACATATTCCCGCTTACTATATTTTTTACCATTGGAACGCAGGCTACCCTGGGTAACAGAGCCTCAAAAGGCAATGATCCGAATTTATAAATATATATATATATATGCGGTGGTGCCCTCGTTTATGACAATGGGCCTGATAATATTTTTAAAATTCAATTGTTGAGCCTCTGGCACCCAGGGTAGGGAATCTCCTACCGCCCCTTTTTTAACAGGGGGACAATTACCATGCACCCCTGTTAAAGTACAAAAACCGCTAAACCTCAAGTTTTCACCTAGGCTTTTCAAATCAATTTATCTGCTCACGTTTTGTCTTCGTGTAGCCGACAATACATACATAACTGCCCTCTCCTGCCCCTTCCTCCATATTGCATTACATCTTTAAAAAGATCTTTTTGTTTCTGATTGAGGGAGAAACGTTGTAAAACAAAAAGTCTTTCTCAGTTTCTTTTGATAAATTAAAGTACAATATCCCTTTCATACATTGAGAATTACTGAAAGGAAGTAATCTGGTTTCACAATATTACGTCAGATCTCTATCTGTGTGAGAAGTTCATGCAGACCTGCAGATATATCGATGACGTAACTAAAAAAGTCACATGGAAATCATAAAGTAATTTGCATAATAATACTGCATAATATATGTGATGACGTCTTTGTAAAATTTCTTGTCTTTCCCAATCGACCTCGAAGATACAAGTGGGACATTAGAGAGGGACCGGGTTCAACTTGATTTGATATGGCACCGAATTTAGGTATGTTGGCAAATAGATACATGCAACACTATCAAGTGTCTTCAGAAAAAAATGAGAAGGAAGATGATAACTCAATCGTAACTGAAGGCCAAGACTTATCATCAGACCCGTTTTTCATTATGAGTTTCAACATCGCAGTGTTTCTTACCAAAAGAAGACTTGGTGAAAGAACGGCCTCACTGAGACAAGGAGAAAAGATGGAAGAACTCACAAAACAAATGTTGTTAAAACATGAAATAACATTTAACAAAATGGCCGGAAAGTTAACTCTTACACCAGAGAACGTAGTTGCCACTGTGGAAGCTGTTGGCCAAGAATTGTTCCTGGATGGCTGTAATTTTGGCAGAATTGTTGCTGCTTACGCTCTGTTCATAAGAATTCTTGATTATTGCCTGAGCCACAACATGGAAGATAAAGTTGAAGAAATCCAAAAGACTACCGCCAAAGTTATCATGGATAAAAAAGAATGGATAATGAAAAATGGCGGATGGGTGAGTCGAGTCCTTAGGCCTCATTTTAAAAATGAGTCAAATATTGCAGTGTTTTGACTCGAAATTGTAATCAAAAAGGGCCAATGAGCCATTAAAAAACCAGGATGCACCGAAATTTTATCAGCTGTGGGTAGTTTTTAAGGTTTTTTATCTAGTTTTCAAGGTTTTAGATATCATACATATTCTGTCCTTATTCATTTAAAAACTGTAGTTAAGTAACAATGTTGTTTTATGTTTTGCGTCACCAGTAAAACCAAGTTTATATCATAAGTTTTCCCAAGTACCATCTGTACCATCCAAAACTTGTGTTTAATTAAATTTAGATACTTGTGTAATCAAATTGTTAGAATGTTTTCCTTTTGTTTCTGCAGGATGGTTTCATGGACTACTTTTCTGATCCATCAGAGAAAATATGGAAGGGTTTTATGATAGCTACCTTTGGACTAGGGGCACTTGCTACCCTGCTGTATACAAGAGCATGATGTAAGAGTATTAATATGATGGAAACACATTTTCTAATTGTACACTGCATAACACCAGAAAATCAGACTTTATATATACAAAGTTTTCTGTCTTTTAAAGACATGGTTTTAGCGTTTGATGCATATTGCATCAAATCAACAGTTTTTTCTCAAAGAAAATAAAGTTTTATTTTGGGTTGCACTAATTAAAGAACAAGGATTGCCAGATGAAGATCAAGGCAAATAATGTTGAATTTTTATAGCAAAAAGATACCACAGTCATAGGGCTAGTCAGCTGTGATATCTTAAAAGATGCTGGTCATTATGAGTATGCTATGCTGGTTCCATTCAGGCCTTCTCAAGAAGAAATCAGTACCTGCAGGAATTTCCCATTCTTGATTATATTTACACTACATTTCGACGTTTTTGTTTTTTGTCATTTTTTAACCACATTAAAATGATGATGTGAACTTTAAAAAAAGCAATCAAATTTTATACTTTAAGTTTTGAAAGACAGTTTTTAAAGACAACTACCCTAACTTCTATGACCACCAAAACAAAAGAAATGACGTCACCAAAGCTAACGGGTAGTGGTGAAAGTAAACAAGTAAAGAACAAATCAGGCATACATTGTAATGTCAGGAAAGTTGTGTTACGTTGTGTGAGTGTGTGCGTGCATGTGTGTGATTGTCCACCTTTCCTAGGCAGCCTTTCCACTAGCCTGGGTTAAAACAAAACCGGATTAGAAGTTATTCGTTTTTAAAGTGAGTCAATGGAAAGGGCAATTTTTCTTTGACCCGTTTTTAATCCATTTTTTACCATTCCCACTAAGCCGGGTCAAAATGTATTCAGAGTGAAAAGTTGTAAGAGAAATCAGTTTTTGCATCAATGATCCTTCAATTTCCATCGTTGTAGGCCAATGGAAGCAACCTGGTTTTGCTTCCATTGCTCCCAGAAGTTATCCTGGTTTTGGCATTTCCATTAACTCGCAGGTGGGTCAAAAGATACCCGGGTTAAAACTGACCCTCTCTGAGACCCCTTTTCAAACTTACTCGTTTTTCAAGTGGGTAAGTGGGAACGCGACACAGCAACAGATAACTTTTAACCTGTTTTTGTTATTAACCCGGGCTAGTGGAAAGGCTGCCCTTGGAAGGCCTGTTGTGTATTCTGTACCATTATACGATTATCTGACACAGTAAATATGTAAATTTGGGCCATGCACTACAATGTGCAAGACTGGCATATGACGAGAAAGAGTCAGTTAAAACTAAAATAGCAATCTTGATAATGCACCAAACAACTTTAAAAGAATTGACAAACATCTTGAAGGTGGACTTCAAATACCTTTCATTGACTTTGCAATGTGTAAGATAGTTTCGCAAATCATTGGCACCAGTTTCTCTCTAACCTTGCCAAACATGTGAGACCTATACCCGAGCCCAAAATTAGCTTTGCAAATAGATACATATCAATGACTCATTTTTCTAATCATCATCTACGCAACTTTACATTAGCACAATAGCATGGCTCAAATTTGAATATATTACAGTGATGTAGGATTTCAAGTTAGACTTATTGCTCATTTTTATATAGATAAATTTTTATAACCAAATGTTTTAAACTTTAATTATTTCAAAAGCACAGTAAAAGCAACTTTCAACATAGGAAGTTCATATTATATCAATTATTCAAAGCTGCTATATAAAATGCTTACATGTGTACTATGATGAATGCCAGTCTATGTTGGGTTGTTTTTTCTAAAGCATTATTTGTAATTTTGTTTCAATGAATTTGCTTTTAATGCATACTTGACCGACAAGCTTTGAATTGAAATGTGAATAGTTTTTGAGTTATTTCAGTAGTTGGACTTTTAATTTCTATGTAATATGAAGCCATAGTCACCAATTTTTTCACTAATTCTGAGTCCAAAAGCTAAACAACCAAATTTCCAAATCAAGGCCTATGTTAGAATTACTTAAGTAACTGCAACCAAAATGCAAATCAACCAAACATATTGAATTTTTATTATCTGACCTTGCTGGAAAATTTGGCAGAATATGTCAATTGACAGGACTATTAACCTTGTGCGGTTTTAGAATCGAATTCGCCTTCAGCAAGCCATGGCATGTCAAAACATCGTAGCCAAATCACGAGATTCGCTTCCAGATGCCCTTGAAATTAAGACACACAAATTCTAGTGTGTTTTGTTTTCATGCTGAGCGGGGCTGAGCTTATCAATATGAACATGCGAAGTTTTGGTGTATGCAAGCTGAAGCCTTAAAAAAATTTAATGGGCAACGTGATGTTTTCATTTAATGGAACACTAGGGAAATATGCAAAAAACTGAGATATATATCGAGGTCTTGGTTTGATTCATCTGTGGGATATTTAGGATCGATAAGTTCGTAAAGAACACTATATTGACACGAAATAGTCTCACGATTTACATGAAATAATAAGCCTACACGGTTTTTTATAAGAACACAATCCATAAGAACACTAAGAATCGAATTGTTCAAAAGATAGAACAACTTAAGAATACGAGCGCCTCAGATGAAAGTGGTCTTAGAGACAATTTAAAGTATGTTATGAAGACTATAAGTAGAAATATATATTTTTAAATAAGAACGGCGTTAAGAGTACTCGAACCTTGAATGAACCAAAAGATTAGAACATTTGAGCCTAGGCAGAAATTTTATGGTTCTTGTAAAGAAGAGTGTTTATGATTGAATATTGTACGCGAGGTGCTGTTGATTCGAAACTGAAAATTGCGAATAATTTTCCTGTTAAGGGCTGGTCGGTTCATTGAATAGGGAGTGAAACCGAAATCAGTGACACTATTTCCTCTTCAAGTTTGTTTCTGAGGAAAATCGTTGATTTGATTTGAATTTTGTAAATCAAATATCCTCACAAAGGAGACTGCCATTGAATATAAAGGCAAGGCGAATCCAGGAAGGTTCCTCAAATAAAGGCACCCGGCGTTTATAAACTTTGATGGTGGGAAATATTATTGTATCAGTTATACAGGCTACTCTCCTCGCGGTCACTCCGTTTGAAGTCAAACTGCTGTTTACAGTCACATAGAATTTAGACCCAATAATGCAAAACTATTCAAGTAAGCTCCGTTTAAGTCAGACTCTACTGTCATAGATTTTCAAGCAACATTTGTTATGACTATAACTGCACTCCACTGTATGATAGGTCAGCGTTCGCGATCCCGAAATGTGTCATGATGTCATGTAAACACCCGATTACGTTATTTACGTCGTCTCAAAATGTCTAAAAAAATTGCTATCCAGATCAACTGATTTAAAAAAAAAAAGAGATCCATGTGCTGATCCTATGAAAAATTAAAATTTCCACGCGAACCGCTCTGTTTTGCGATTGCCCCCATGTCACCAAACATCCAGTGTGCACTGGGGTCTGAATTGGGACGCATGTTCAAAGTTCAACATGTACCACTTTAATATTTGGCGACTATCTACTCAATATGCACAAGCACCATGATGAATATTGGCATCAAAGTGCTCATACAGCCAAATTCAGTGCTGAGGAGAGGAGGGGGGGGGGGGGGGGGGTCAGGAGGGTCACTGACCCGGAGGCCCATGACTTTATGGGCCCACAGATAATAACTTAGTCAAAAGTTGATAAGTAGCAATTCAGCTCCTCCATTATCAAAATCTTTCAATAATAGAAACAATTATCGCAAAAGCCTTTGAAATAAAGTAAGGTAGAGGCAGCAATAGTATTAACCCCACTTATGTAACTCTAAGAGAGCTAGTAGCTTTCGGTAATTGTCTAGATAGATAACAAAACAATTTTCAAAACTTTGCATTTGTAAAAAGGTTATAGTCAAGTTCTTCGGCAATTTCAGTTTCCATGGACATTGAAACCAGTGAGCTAAACCTGTTTTGGCCAATAGTAAAGCGAAGATAATACTTTATGAATTTGAGCTTACTGGACGATATTTCACCTGATGTAACACTAGAAGGCAAAGTCAGAAACAACCTTAATGCAATGAAAACATTGGGAAAAAAGCGTTGCAAATTCAACAAATAAAACTGAACTGATAGTCTGAAGTCCTTTGCGTGGAGGGTACAACCTGAAGGGGCCAGTTATAGACATGCCTGGGAGAGACAATGTGCCTGAAGGATTTTTGAACTTTGAATTTTAGGACATCTTCTTTGGCTCTACTAACCGCCAAGAGCCCTTATAAACAGTAAATTCAGTTGTTTAATCAATTCTTCGTACTACAGACATACTGTTATTTCTAGTCACTTACAGTCTTGGATGCATAAGATGGCAAGAAAAATGCTAAAATAAAGTTCATGCAAAGCTAAAACCAAGCAAAATCCACTCTTTCGGTGTTCTCAAGAAGAAATCGTTATAAATACTAGAGATTGACTACATGTTTCTAAAGAGTAGATATTTTAGGTGTCTTTTCAAGGGGTACTCATCGAGTGTGAAAAAGCAGGAGCTGTAGTGGGCCAAATTCTCTTTACGGTTGTGTTCACGTGGCTGATCTAATTTTTCCTTATAGTTTGATCTAATATAGTTACTTCGTCTTGCATCAGAAACATAATATCTAATAATTTTTGCATTGTTTATTGGCGCCATATTGAATTAAAAAGTATGGCCAGAAACAATCTTGACATTATAAGAGATTGGTTACTTGCTTCTCTCAAGTATACATCAATTCGACTTACGGCCTCGTTTAGGAAATTTCTCCAAACTTCATTATACGACCTTTTTAATGCTCAGATTTGGCTTTATCATCATAATTTTAGGCTGGATAAAAATTTTCATATTGTTTGTGCTTGTATTGTAGATTTAACGCAGAATGAGGCTGTAAGTTGAATTGGTGTATTACGTGCTTCGTCTAATTTGTTTAAGATAAGAATAACTTCGGGGGAAACATGTCTAGCCTCAGATGAAAAAAAAATTGAAAAATAAACAACATCTGTTTAGAGATTTGAAGATTTAAAGGACAGATCTTATCAGCAAATCAATCCTGCAACTTAAATGGTTTACAAAACTGTTTAGTGGTCTTAGAAAGAATTCATAGTATAAAGATGTGGAAAAATTAATGTAGATAAAACACTTTTATGATGCCATTTGATGTTCTCGTCTATTTTGTTGAGACAATATAAGCCAAAACTATTTGCCGTAGATTTTATGCTATTGGCATTTTTACTAATCGTAAAGTATGAAAGGCCGCCTCTTCTTTTAAGTGCCTCCTTTGAAAAAAAGGCCTCAAAGAAGTTTGAGAATTTAAAAAGAGCAACTCAGGCGCAATATGGTATTTTAACAGCTCTACAAATCAAAAGTCACTTGAGTCAATGCTGTTATCAAATAGAAAATTCTAACACAACATTAAAAGATGTATTCAGTTATTTTCTTATTTCATACTGGGAACCAAAGTTATTTCATATTTCAAAACCATAAAATCTAAATATTTATATTTTCTCCCCGAAAACTTTAATTATTTCATATTTCAATTTCCCCTTATAGGCCCTTATTTGCTATCGCGGCCGCGTCTTCGCGCTTAATGCGGATTGCGGCATTCGGTTGATTTTTGCACGGTTTTGCGGCTTTTAGTCCTCCTATAATACGCCACTTTTAAATGTCCAAAGAAGTAATAGCCACCATCGCAATCTCAGGAACCAAAATAGCCGCAATTTTAGCAACCATCATCTCAAAAATTTTTCTCCGACCACTTGCTTTCTATCTTTCGTTTTGACCCGGGGCCTATAAATCCTCTCCGCGGCCCTGGCCAAATTTGCAAGGTTTTGATAAAGTTTGAAATTTAATCTTTTTTGGTCAATTTGGTGCATTTTATACGAGTCAAGAAGAAGTTATTTTAATTTCAGCTTGAAATATGGCGCCCCACGAGAAAACTTTTTCTCTGTGACGTGGCAGTGATGACACTGCAATTTCAATGGAGTTTTTTAAAAGCGTGCTATATTCCATTTGATAACTATCGGTAGGATGCAAACATTATAGCAGTCGTTACACCATGAGAAGCTTCATTCTTTATCGCTCATACTGGACAATTTTTGTTTCATCTCATGTAAAGCACGGCCAAGCACGCCTCACAATTTGAATTTGAAAAGCTCACCTGCTGCTGAATTGTGACGTCTTAGTTACTCGCCATCTTTCCTTCATGCACGCACACACAATACTCTTCTTATCGATTCATGGCATTTCGTTATGCCAGCCAAAGAAGCTAAACATTCTAAGCTCAAACGCAGACTCGTGTCCAGATGCTGCCCCTTGCTAAATTATAATAAAGCGTTTTTCAAAAAGCTGTTGAGTGCTGAAACATATCTTAGTATCTATTTCGTATGCTCATTTCATCGGTCTTGTTGTCCCCGGACCCCACGAATTCGCCTCTAAGATTGATTAACAGTTTGAATAAGTAATTTTCTCAACTCCCTAACATCACAAATGTAATTAAACGGTATCGAATATTCTCTAAGACAAAGAAGACGGCCATGGAAAGGAAGAACAAGCCTAAAATGTGTTAATTACTTAGCTTTAACTAAATGCAATCCACTATGCATACGTAACTAGAGGTCAATACACCCCAACTGCCAAGTAGAAAAAACTAATCCTACCTTCAGCAGTTAAGTAGCTCCTCTTCAGTTCCTTTAGAATAGTCAGCTGATGTGTTAGTAGAGTCCCTATCTGAAAGGATATTTGTCGCTTGAAAATTTGAGCAATTTGTTCATGCAAAATTGAAACATGGCATAACTTACTTACATAGTATTTTATAGTATAACCTGGGTGAAACTAAGCGCGACCTTAGAACCTAAGCCAAAAATAAGTTTTACTATAAAATACTGTATATATTACTTAAAAATTGCCTTACTTTTTAAAAGGAAAAATAGCGGTTTGAGGAATGA